GGGTAATGAAATGTTGGCAAGAAAACAACCAAGCTCAGAGAACCCCAAGGACTCCACAGTTCAACCCTGAGCTACACATATTCTCTTCTGTTGGCATTTGGAGATCATCAGGTTGGGAAGGCTGGCATAGTGCCTCAGTCCCAATAATTAGTTTCTGAAATAATTTCCCATTACACAGGGTTTTTTTTATTATCCTTTAAAGAAAAACTAGTGAATAATTGTCTGTTCAATAATAACAGACTGCACATTTTCTAGATGGGCACGTTGTGCTGTCATCCTATGAAATGACCCTGTGTGCCTTGGACTTATTCATTTACTTTTTTTTTTTTTTTTAGGTGAACTGTGTGGTTATGCGAGGACTCAATGAAGATGAGCTGCTGGATTTTGTTTCGCTTACAGAAAAGCAGCCCCTGGATGTGCGCTTTATAGAATACATGCCTTTTGATGGTGAGTTCTTGAGTTTACACTTGGCTTCAAAGACTGAGTAAATGAAAAAGTGAGCAGTTTCCCATTCCTATAGAAGATGGTGATGGAATATCAGCTTAGAGGTATCTTCAGCTTCTGTGGCCTACATAGGAATTTCTCTGGGAAAGGGACAAGTACAAGGTGAAAGTATTGATATTGCTGGTGTTTTTTTATTCTTAATGTTGTATATCTCTGATCTCACAGTTTCATGGTAACAAAACACAACTAGTTTATTCCTGGTATTCCTACATTTATACCTTAAGTTTAATTAATAATGCTATTGTTGATATGCTGCACAAACCACATTAAAAAAAAAAAAAGAATTGCAGAGGAATAGGACTTTCACATACTTCTGCTCCTTCCACTGCCAGCCACTGCTTCTTAACTACCTACCATTGCATCTTAACTATTCTCTAGCCACTTAGCACTCTGTTGCTCCTGATGAAAATGTTGCTATAGTTAAAAACATGCCTTTTGTAGACTTAAATCCCTCTCAGTCATTACCAGACTTATTCAACCCATAACATTTGTTCCCCGCTTACTCTAGGCAACAAGTGGAACTTCAAGAAAATGGTGAGCTACAAGGAAATGCTAGATACAATCACACAAAGATGGCCAGACTTGAAAAGGTTGCCCTGTGAAGAAGCCTCTAGCACTGCCAAGGTAATTATTAGCCTGATCAAAGGATCAGTAATCAGAGAGAGCTTCTTGGTCTGCTATTTCAGTGCTAGTTTGATTAGCTATCAGGGAGGGAGGGAGATGATATGGCTTTTATTGTCCTGATACAGCCTCCCTGTGTACTTTTGACAATTATGCGAATCGTGGTATTGGCTGGATGCTGTGTCTATCACAGTAGCATAGCTGTAGTAAATTAAAAAAGGGAAAGAAGGGTTTGAAGGAAAGTGTTGTTGGAGATATAGTGGTACCTCGGGTCACGAACGCTTCTGTTCACAACCAATTCGGGTCACAAACAGCACTGTTCGCAAAATTTTGCTTCCGTTCGCAAACTCCACATCGGGTGACGAACAGGATCCGCAGCAATTTTCCCTGCTGACACACGTGGTCGTGGCTTCCCGTGGGGGGGGGCTCTCGCTCCTAAAAATAACCACCCCCCCCCCCCCCCCC